GAATATAGTCAAGTTGCCAACACTTTGTACTTATATTACTACCTTAAATATTCATTTAAATGTGGCACTGTCATGCTTACAATTTATGAATGATTAGCAAGTTTTCGTTCACCCACTCTCCATTATATTTTATATCATTTAACTGACCTTAATTTTATTTTTATTTAACTAATCGATTTATTATTTTTCAGACAATATTTATTTGGATGTACATATATTTATACAAACTGTTTCTGTGTACTTGTTTTTCATGTTATTTAGAGAAATTTAAGGCACTAAAGCGACTTTGTAAAAACAAAATACCCGCAAGTGATTTGTGTAGTATGGAAGACCCTGGAGATTTATTAGACACACTGCGAGACGATGATGTCATATCACCAACAAATACAACATTCCTTGTTAAAATGTTGAAAAATAAGAATGTTAGAATGAAGACACTTGCTGATAAAGTAAAGAAATTTACCGACCTATACAATAAAAAATTAGGACATACCACCAAAGGTAATACGTCTTTGTCTCTAACAATGGCATTGTAATCAAGTTTAGGGTCAAATGAGATATGTATTTATGAAATTCAGAACGACCCTGAGTGTAGTACATGTACGATTGTAATATTTTGTTTTACTACAAGCAACCACAAATGATACGTCATCTATGGTTGGAAGCAAACGAAAAAGATCTCCAGATAACCTATTTGGGCAGTCAGCGCAACAGAAGAAAAAGTCTACTGGCAGAAAGGGTATGTTATAATTCCTGTCTGATTATGATTGGGCTATATTTAACTAACAATACATGCTTGTGAGGGTAATATCACGATTTGTTGACTGCCCAAGGGGTGGTGGTCATGACCATAATAATGATTGATGCCAGAGCCGAGGGTGAGGACATCATCAATATTATGGTCATGAACAACAGCCCAACAAATCGTGATACTGCCCGAATGACCACGTGTTATTTATTTTAACTCATCGAGCAGACATCCACCATGCACAATCACGTCTACCATTCATTACTCACACCCGCTCTCCCACAAAATAACAACACATATATTTGTAGTATGCAATATTTTATTTTATCTATTATAACAAGTTTCACATTACTTAATAGCATAGATAAATTGAAAAAGCGGAAAAAGCTGCGAAATACACACAGCAAATGTTATTTTCACCCATGGATATCCTTTTTAGTAACCTTGTTTCAGCAGTATGAATCGGGTGGGAATCACTCAATTTATTTTGAATGAATTGAGAAATTCTTAAACGCCAGTTATCTGGCCACTCGCCAGATAAATATGGCGTTGTCGTTGTCGTTGAAGTGACTGAAATTACTTCTCACAAACATACCACACCTTTTATTCACACAGCTAATAGCGTTCTCAGTTAGCATCGGCGTGGAATGCGTAGAAATGCTAACAGCGTAGAACGCGCCGCAGCGATCCCGGCCGAGACGTTTTTGCTGTATATAGAATACCCTAATCATCAAAACAGAGTATCTTACTTAATTTCCATTCTGACACGTCGATGTATATTTCGGATGGCTAAAGTTTGTTGAAAACCTCAAAAGCAACCCCGAAAGCAACAGCGACAGCAGCAGTGAAGCGAACGACGAACGATTTGTTATGCGCAGTATCGATTCACAGTAATTTCAGTGACGTCATCCATGTCATATACCCATGTAATCTCCACTTGACGGGCAATATACCATATAATATTCATTTTAATTAAATGTAATGTGACCGGTTCTCAACCAATCACAGCATGCGTAACAGCAGTGAGATGTGATAATACCTACTATTTCTTTTTGAAGATCATATTGTAAAACTTTTGAAAAGTAATGATAATCCATTCATGGTACATTGTTCTAACGCTTTATTGTGTTTTTCACGTTCTGCTTTTATGGCCACCATATATCCATTATGTAGCAATCCTTGTTGAGTCTGCGCTCACACATTTTAGAGGGTGATGGAGTATTACAGGATGTCGCCGAACATTTTTATATATTATACGATTCATTAATACTTATAGGTATTGTATCAAGGGAACCTGGACCACGTGACACACAAGGTGACAGTGCCGTTACAGCACATATAACACGGGCACATACATGTAAGTTAGTTAGCAAAAGATGTTATAAACACATCAGATCTATTGAACAATGATATTATTGGTGCACAAAAATACCCCAATCTCTGGTAATTGTTCAGACATAAACATCTAGTAATGTGATTTCCCAAAGATAAAATACCTGAGGGACGTAATGTAAAATGCCCGTATTCGGCGACACACTGAAGAACGATGATGCAATATCACAAAATACACTTTGACTCATACGAATGTTGAAAAACAGGCAACGGCTGTTAAAGTACTTTCGCACCTCGCACAGTAAGAAAATAAAACGTACAAACATTATTAATCATAATATTTACAATCATCTCGTATAATATGTAGCATGTAAAGTTCTTCGTGAATTATATCTATACTGTGAAGTTATCCCAATAGCCAAAATACTGTGAGGCACATCGTAAAGTACATTTTTCACATCAGTGTGAAATATGACGTGGTAGCAAAATAGCTCTGAATTTGTAATGATATGTCACAATAATATAACGTTATATATAAATCAATGTACTTATGTCTTAATTTCCAGCAGTATTATCTAGCAAACAATCTGACACCAGAATCAAAAGAACGAGATCGGCAGACGCTACAAATGTTTCAGAGTCAAAGAGGAAACAAGATACTGATAAGGAAAGTATGTGTTGATTCAACAAGTTCTTCATTACAGCTACGATAGTCTTATTTATTTATTTATTTATTTATTTATTTATTTATTTATTTATTTATTTATTTATTTATTTATTTATTTATTTATTTATTTATTTATTTATTTATTTATTTATTTATTTATTTATTTATTTGCAGTACCAGCATTCACAAAAATTCTGAAGGAAATTAGCGATGATCTTTGCTCCTATGAGGTTGAAGAGATGAAGAGTCTCCTGATCGGTAAACAACTGTCACGAAAAGATGAACATAAGATCAAAACTGGAATGAATCTATTTCTTTATTTACAAAGCACTGGTAAAATCTCGTGTACAAATTTTGGTTTACTTCGGCAATTATTGAAACGCATACACAGACAGCCCTTAGTGGAAAAACTACAATATTGCTACCATTAGTTATCTAGTTTCATTTGCATTCCCATTTTGTAGGAAAATCTCCTATATACCCATGTACGCATAATTATTGCTCCATTTTTTTTACAATTTCGAGAAAATTTGAAAAATAAAATGAATCTGAATTCCTAAGGCCCACTTCTAAAATGAATTTGTGTTATAGCCATCAAAACATAAACATGCAAATGACCTCAAGAAATTTCAACAATTGAAATTATGTTTGGTTGTGGTATTTGAATATTACGACCTGTATACAATATATAAAAACAATCCTCTCTCATATGGACACATAACTTCAAAATTTGTACTGATGTATTTTTTTTTATTTGAACAAAATAAACACTTTTGTGCGCTTTAAAAAAACTTAAATCGAGTGATATAGTCTGGGTATAGAACCGAAATGTGCGTAGAATGAGAATAGTTTAAAGTGCATACTAGATACACGTGTTGTAATACGGTATTTTGTGTAGCACCTCCATAATCTCCATGGGATGCTGAGATGAAATTAGATGAGTTTGTATGGGTTTTGGTGTCATTGATATCCCACGTGTGCTGCAATGATGACATGATATG